CTTCAGGGGGAACATTGACTTAAATGGGGTCAAAACACATACTGATGCCAATGGGTCAGGGTATGGCCCTAAGACAGAAAAAGGAAAGTAGCAACAGAGAATTTGCATTACTTGGTTAGGAGTATATCTTTCAGCCTGTCTATCCAGAGAATGCTCACATAGGATTATAATTAATCTTTGGTTGGGTTCCCTTGGATAAGAAATGACTATTGGTTCCGCCTTGGCAGGCTTAATGTATCTCTTTGGTCACACATGTATATCTCTCATATACACCTCTACCCCGATATAACGTGACCCGATATAACACGAATTTGGATATAACGCGGTAAAGCAGCACTCCGGGGGGGAGCGGGGCAGAGCTGCGCACTTCGGTGGATCAAAGCAAGTTCGATATAACACGGTTTCACCTATAACATGATAAGATTTTTTGGCTCCCGAGGACAGCGTTATATCGGGGTAGAGGTGTATCTCAATTGCAATGGTGGTTGGCTTGCTCCAGGTCTAGTCTGGAATGGGAGGTGGGCAGTAACTGTACATTGGGGCCCAGCAAAAGGGGTCATCACTTAATCAAGGTGAATATCCTGTGTAAATTTTCCTGAATAATCTTTTCCTCCAAAACAGACATTCAAAAATACTTTAAGAATCTACTTAACATTGCAACTCTCTTGTGTTTTTATCTTGGAACAGGTGTTAATTCTTTCCAAGTCTACATGGCCTATAAAGATCTCTACCAAATGTCCGACAGTCAGGTATTCTTCAGCATGCTTATCATTGTTGTGATATGTAAACTCCTTTCAGTTGATTAGTTAAGAAGTTTAGAGCTACCTGAGACAGTCATGCTGCTTTTGAACTGAACTTGAGAAAATGCATACATATGAAATTTGTCTCTCTGAAGGCCAAAGCCTGAGAGATGCTGAGCATCTGTATTTACCATGGAGGCTCTTGAGAGCACATGGCACTCAGCACCTTGCAAAGAGGTGACTAATGTTTCATGGTATTAGGCTCAGTGGAAGTAGCAGACACCCCTCAAGATTTTGCTGTGGATTTATATCCTCACTTGTTGGCTTTGGAACATTCAATCTGAGTCGGGGGGGAAAAAAGATGATACACTAGTGGCAATATTAAAAGTGACCTAGCTTTTGAAATCCCATGTGTTTCTCACTCACTGCAAATTGCTAAAGCATGTTCTTTGGGAAAGCATGTTCTTGTGTTCAGTTGTTGGAGTTGGAGATTACAATGAACTTGTTTGTATAGCACTTGTTATAGATCCAACCTCTTCAGCTTTCTAATTCACAGACAGCAGATCATTGTAATTGGACAATGGCATCTGTTAGTAATAATAATGTTTGCTTATTCAGTTGAGCAAATGCTTCCTTCCCACTTATTTCCAGAGCTGTTTCCTTTTCTCTTAAACAACTGTTGTTACACCTCCAATTCATGTGGTTTTCATTGGACTTTTTAATGTAACAGCATCCTCTTGAGGAGAGGTGCATGCCAAGTCCAACTTCTTGATGGGATTAATTACAGCAAAACATATTAAGAAAAGGTGGAGAAGGGGGCAAGGGATCCAATATTTAAACTTGCTCAGATCAGTGCTCACGTGCCCCAAGCCCCAAGCCCATTGAGTAGTTGCTTGAGTAACTCAGTTGAAGACCGGATATTTTAAGTTTAGGTGCCCAAGTTTGAAAACTGGGCTCCCAATATTACTTAGTGAGACCAAATACAGAAAATGGAGGGTGGGGTTTTCAAAAGTGCTTAATGGCATTAGGAGCACAAGTCCCATTGACTTTCAATGGCAGTCCCTAAACCCCCCTAGGTGCTTTTGAAAAGCCCACGTGTAAGGAATAGAATCCATTGCTTTTCTTTTGTAGGGATTATTTTTGAATGTTGGAAAGCAATTAACATGGAAGCCCATGAGAGAAAACAATAGAATTATTTAGCTGTAAATGAAAGACATTCGTGAGATTGAAACTGTACCCACACTTACAGAAACGTGCATGAAGTGTATACTTAAGGGAACATACGGGTACTGTAGCTATACTAAAAGTGTCCATAGCTTAACTGCTATTCCAATTTAGTGGACCTATTCCTTGTTCATTCATGGAAACTTTTTTATATCTATTTATTTAGTTAGCTGCCTGTACTCAAACTACAGACCAGAGAACTCTCACAAGACACGTGCCTGTGTTGGAGGAGGTGCATAGCTGCCTTGCCTTAGAAGGATCTCAGGGAGACACTTTGCCTATAGGTGGCACATAGTTTCTCAGGAGTGCAGCTGCTGCACCACTCCATAGGCAGGTGCTCTGTGACTGGCTGGTGTGGAGAGTGGGGACATGGAATAGCTAGCAGCCACAGGGGTCCTAGCAGGGACTGTACATGGGGCTGATGGTGGCTGAACACTTGTGCAAGGGCCAGCATAAAAATATGATTTAATACATGAGAAGTGTTTGTGAAATAAGTAACATGCCCCTCTTTGTACCACTTCCAGCTTTATGAAGCTTTTACCTTTCTGAAAGGGCTTGGAGCTGTAATCATGGTCCATGCTGAAAATGGAGATTTGATAGCTCAGGTGAGTGAGTCGAATTTCTTCTTCTGTTTCCCTTAGAGAGTGAATATGTTTCATGTGACCGGGGAGAAGGGAAACTTATCTGCTAGTACAACAATCAGAGACAGTATTGGTGGGAAAACAGAGACTACCTAGTAAAGCTTCCTTGCTGAATCTAATTTCTTGTAATGATAAACCATTGGGTTATGGGAATACCAGTATAGAATTCCATGTGTGTAATGATACAGCATGCAGGCTGGAAGGTGATACTCCTGACAGCTCCCTGGTGGGGCCAAGGGAATAAAAGAAGGGGCGTCAGTGGGAGGGACATGGGGATGCAAGAATTGGGTCCGTGAATTGAGCAGTGGCAGCTGGGTGGACAAGCAACAGGAAGAATCCCGTGAAGATACTGGGGAGCGGTTGAGGAGCTGGGAGGCCTTATCCCAGTATTGCTGCTGCTGAAGAAGTCAGTGTGTGCAAGGGGGGTAAGGCTATGGGCCCAAGCACATTTGATGGTGTTGCTCTCAGACCTGTTCATGCTTCTTTGCTGAAAAGACCCTTATAAACATCTACAAAGGGAACAAAAAAACCAACCCTATAAAACTTCCTAAAAAGTTATTAAAAATAAATTAGTCCACGCTCTCTCTGAATCTGGAAATTAGTCAAGTTAAGAAAATTCAAATACAGTGTCCCTTTAAAATGTCCTCTGAGACACGAGAGTGTGCCCCTCCAGGAAACCAGGGCCTAACGGTGTACAGCTGTCCCAGTAGCACAGGATGCCACAGCCGTGATTTGTAGGACAGCGGATGGAGGGTGAAATCCTGACCACAGTGAAGTCAATGGCTGAACTCCCATTGATTTCCAGGAGTTCATCCATAGACTCAAAACGAAGAGGTTGTGGTGACAGGATTATTATTTTCTTGTTTTAAAAAAAAGTATATATGGTCATAACATTACATGACACATTACAGTGATTTAAAAAATATGGCCCCTGCGCTGAAGAATTAACAATATAAGGCCCTGATCCTACAACGGGATATGCATCAGTGGAGCCCTGTGTTTGTGTGGAGTCCATTGACTTCAGTGAAGCGTCACATGGGCTCAGGGATTTGCCTGCATGGATCTAATTACACTAGATATTAGAGCTGATCAGGAACTGGAATTTCTCTTCCATGGGAAATCCCAATATTTTCAGGGGAAATAATCATTCCAATTCGGAAAAAAAAGGATGAAATTTCCTGCTAAATGGAAAAAAAAAATGTGATTCAAACCCTTAAAACATTTTTCTTTCAACTTTTCTATTATATTAAATTATAATAGATATAGCAAAATCAGTACTTGGTCCTGCTAGTGAAGGAAGAGGGCTGGGCTCGATGACCTTTCGGGATCCCTTCCAGTTCTCTGAGATAGGTATATCTCCATATATATAAGTATACTAAACCCAATATTTTAGTATAATATAAAAGTCAAAACAATATGAATCAAAATTACAGTACTGAAACACAACATTTTGGAAAAAATGTATCAAAATCAACACATTTCCATGAAACATTTCAATTAAAATGAGTTCTGATGGAAAAGTGTTGCATTAAATTTTTTGATTGTCTCTAATAGACAAACCATAGAACATGCAGATAGACAAAAGATTAGGGGTAGGGAAAAGGGGAAGGAAGTTTAAAAAAAAAATGAGTTGTATTCTACAGCAAGATATTGGTGGTGGAAAGAAGGCTGCTTATGGTGGATGCTTGAATGACTAACCAGTATGTAAACCCAAATGTTTATCTCATCAAACTCATGTCCTAGTTTATTAACACTATTGAATCCTCTTACAGTGGATAATTTTGTCATTCTGTCTGCTTCATTCTGCCATCTTCTGGATGTGACTAGCCTATTTTTAAATGATGCCATTCTTTGTCATCCCGCTTCTTTCATGTTATATATTTGTAATTTTTTTAATTGTATTTTAATTGTCTGCAGCATCCTGCATGCATAGGTGACCAGGTGCATTTTATTTAAAATTATTTTTAAATATATATGCAAAATATTTTGGTTTTCTACCCAAATGTGTCTCCAGGACACAGTCTGGTTAGTATAGTGGATTTATCTATATGGTCATGATGTATTATCCATTTGTCACCCAGTATAGTGAAGACACAAATCTATGTGTGTAATCTAAACGATTCTTGTTGGAGTAGGTTGGTAGTACGTTAGCTTTTCACCCCCCGAGACCTGGGATCAAATATTCATTAGGTTACATATGAAAACGTGTTAGGTAATTTCATCCCTGTCTCTAGAGGACATTTGTCTATATCACAGAATCATTACATCTGGCCAACTCTGCTCATTAGAGACCTAAGGGTGAGACAGGTCAGATTTGTGGGGCATTAATAGCTCTGTGTGAGAAAGCTTTTGCTGTGTCTACAGGTCCTATTAATCCATCACCTTTTTTTGATCAGAAAGTTTATTCCAAAAAACACCCTTTGCATGATCTTTATATGAAATCATAAGGATTGACCACATGTCCCTTCATAAGAAGCTTTGGCACAACATTTTGCTGACAAACATCAGCTGACTGAGCAATGAATACTTGGAATATCCATTCTTAAGATAACATCAAAACATTAAGTAGTAATATAACACCAAGGGGGTGCATTTTTAGTGGGGTTAAAAGGCATTTAGTTATGCATCTTCATGATCAACTGTAAAAGAATTACAGAAAATTTAGAGCATGTAAGCAAGACCCCTGAAAGGGTCAGAGGAAGAATCAGCAGGGTAAATAGATATTGTCAAACAGGTTGAGAAAATAATTATACTACTTAGGAGGAAAGAGAGAAGAAAAATATTGTGTAAGGAAAGGCGAATTACAGTACAAGGTTGTCCTTAATAAGTACAATATTTCATGGCATTGAGTGTTCTCTCATAAGACTCCTTTTTAGGGGAGGACAATAGCATTTTTCTCATGGGGCAGTCACAATAGACCAAATTCTATACTGCCTTGCAGCCACAAATCTTCCACTGAAATCCATAGCGGGTTGCATGTGGTGTTTGTCAGTGAAGAATCTGGCCCAATATATTTAGGGCCGGTCTTTCCGTCCTTTCTTCCCTTTTTCCAAGCGCTATCAGTTGCACATACAAAAAATGGAGGCGGTATGAAAACGTGTCCCTCGGTACACTAAAGGAAGTTTAATATAAATGTATCTTGTTCTAGAGGTGGTCAGCATTTGTCTGTTACATTCTAGGAACAAAAACGTATCCTGGAGATGGGAATCACAGGACCTGAGGGACATGCCCTAAGCAGACCTGAGGAGGTAAGAGGCTTAACTAAGTCTGTATTTCTTGGAAATGTCTTCTGGCATCTACATACCATGGGAAGTAGGTTTCTTATAAATAAATAAAAGAGAAGATGATGGATGGATGGATGGATGGATGGTTGGAGGCGGGGACAGGAAACCATCTGCTTTTCACAGCCTGTTCTGATAATGCCATTCTCTGCAAAATTTTCTAAGTACGAGACATCACGCTAAAAATATTCATAGGACATATTGTACATCAGCTGATCAAGACATTTCAGCCAAAAACACTCCTAATAAACGTTTTTTCCTACTATCTGTACATATTCACAAACATCTACATATTGTAATATTGTGAATTCATGAGAATGGAAGGATTCTGTGGGTCAGCTTGATTTATGCACTTTTCTCCTATAATAAAATCCGTTCATGCATGGATCAGCATAGGTCACTGAAAAAGGATTTTTCAAAGGCCATGTCTACATTATGGGTACTATAGCGGCATAATTATGGTTCTGTAGCTATGTCGGCATACCTGTCTCTGTAGATGGAGCCTACACTGATGGCAGGGGTTTTTCCGTGGGTGTTGGAATATCACCTCCCCACAAGACAGTAGCTAGAAAAGAAGCATTCTTTTGTTGATCTAGCTCTGTCTACACTGGGGGTTAGGTTGGCATAGCTATATCACTGAGGGGTGTGGATTTTTCTAAATTACTGAGTCTTTTCCTGTTAATGGGAGTGAAGGCCTGGGGAAAATCCTAGTTTGATATTTGCCAAAAAGTAAGTTGAAGTATTTCTTACCACCACATGTGGCAGCCCCATAACTGAGGTACAAAACCTCTCTACTTTTTCCTCAGGCTTGCCTGGTGATGAACCATTCCCATATTAGGATATGAATCTACACTCTGGCTTGTCATTAGGTGTATATGTTTGTAATAATGGCTACTAGGAGAACATCAGGTGAAAAACAATAATTGCTGCAGTGAACATTTTAATTTTAGGAGAAGAGAGTTAAAAGAAGTACTTAAACTGTAAAGATTTAGGCCATGTGCTTTTGGAGATGCTGTCTTTACAGACTTGACTGATAAAGACTTTGAAGAGAATTATCAATAACCTTGTGTCTAATATTTTGGTCACTCCAGTTTTCTGGATTTAAGTAACACTTCTGGTATCAGGATGGAGCTGTGCAGAGAGGGTTTGGACCGATCACTGGACTAATGGCAGTGAAGAGAGGCCTCTAGCGGCCCTAGAAAGACACTGCTGCTCCAGCTGAAGACAAATAAGTTGTATGCATGTCCCAGATGGCTTCTTGTGGGAGATTGCATTGACACTGAGAAACAGAGGGGACTTACTGGAGGATGTTTGAAAGCCTTCTATGGATTATGGGCTAAATTCAACCTATATTGCTGATGCTATTCCTTAGAAATACTTACATTCACTGTTGTCTTATCCTTTTGTAAAGATTGGGCCTAAGCCTGCATTGTCTGAGGGCACAGAGAATTTCTATGAATTATGACACTATTTTCCCCTTCCTTTCCCTTTTTGTTTGTAGGGGGAAGGCCATGGGGCTTCATGAAGAAATGTGGATTTGGAAGAGTTAATAGGGGAGGGGGTGCAGCTTTGGTTCTAGCAGCAAAGTCCTTTATAACATTTCTTTGTTACTATTTTAGGCTTGATAGTGCTATTAATAAGGGGCAGTGGGGTACAGAGCTGCATTGCCCTGGGATAGTACAGGGAAGCTTGGTGCTACACTATTCTAGCTTATCAACCCCCAGGCCAGCTGTGCTGGGTAGCTGATGCATGGGGTTAGGGGCAGAGCTGGGTCCTTGCCTTCTCACCACCACTATGCCCTGGTGAGGCACCATGTGCCTCTGGAAAAGTAGAAAGGGCACACTCTAGAATTGTGTTTGGCCCTTACACAAGCTGTGTAAGCCTATGTGTGACTTTTTTCTCCCTCCCATCCAACACTGCACAGCAGTTTACGAGCCAAGCAGAACAAGGCCATTGTTGTTGTTAAAAAGAGAGAAATCTGGCTCAATCCTAGATTTCACTTTCACTTCCTTCTGCTTTTCAACTTACATTTTTCTGCCTGTTTTCTTGTCCATTCCAGCTTGAAGCGGAAGCTGTTTTCCGTGCCATCACCATCGCCAGTCGAATCAACTGTCCAGTGTATATCACCAAGGTGATGAGTAAGAGCGCGGCTGATATCATTGCACTGGCTAGGAAGAAAGGTATGGAACTCAGTGCATTCTCCCCAAAGGAGGCGTGCGTTAGGTATCAGTTTACCGAATGGAAGCTCTAGCAACTAACCAAATTGCTGAATGCAGGGGTCAGTATCCACTGACTCAAATGGCTGCTGTTGTGCTAACAATTTGTTTTGGGGAAAATGGAAGTGAGACTATTCAACCTTGACACTCTCCCTCCTACCTACCTGAAATGTGCATCTTAATGCTCCCTTCTCACACGCTACCTCTTACTGGCTATTCATTCTTGCAAAGAAGATCATCTTCCCTTTAAGGCCTAGCACAGACTCTCAGCCTTTGTGGGGCAGCTGCCAGAATGTCTCTCTCTAGCACTTGCTGTCAATTACTGCTAGCGCTACAAAGCTTCATGAGCTAGCAGTGGGTGGGGGAAAATAGAATGCATGCACTGGACCTCAGAGGGAGAGGTTTTGCTCCCTGCTGTGTTGAGGAGTTGTTCCCCCCATGCTCAGCTCCTTTGTATTTTTAATACACACCGGCTGCAAGTCCTACTTTATTGCTGACTCCGCTGCTTGTCTCTCCTCTTAATGCATGTTCTGTTCTTCTCAATTATCTCTGCTTTTCTCTTTTCTCTCATTTTCTTTCCCTCATCTTGTCCTTTGCTGGTTCTATTTTTCTCCCTCAGCCTTCAACACTTCCAGCACCTCTCACTTACAGTTAGGCAGGTGAGAGGCAGGCCGCAGAGACGTAGAAGTGCAAGGGAAGGGCAGCTGTGCTGCTCTGTAGTGCTGTGGAGTATGGGTTACCTTGGGGATCACCAATGACAGGCAGCAGGAGCAGAAATTAGTTTGACTCTAGACCACTGGCACCTCTGCCACTGGACAGTGCAAAGAGACCAAGGAGCAAGAGCAAACTCTCCTCTGGATCTTTAATGTGTCCCCTTCTGATCATGCTTGAGGTACACTGGTGCGAAAGCCTGCATTTCCGCTTGCTTGCGCTGCACATGTTCTGTGCGTACGTAAAGAACTTCAGGCTCCTGGGCCTTCAATCCACTGCACAAACTCACTTAAAATCAGAGAAAAGATGGCGGTGATAAGATTATTCAAATTAAACACAACTTTGAACTCCTTTCCTCCCAGATTAGAGAATTTTGTAAATATTTCGATCAAAAGCATATGTGGCTTGGCAAGCTGCCTGATTAAATTTTTATAATACGGACAAAGCCAGGGTTGTTTAATTTCTTAGGAGTTATGCTGTCCATGTAGCAACATGTAAATTATGCATGGCTGTTCGCAGTAAGCTGCATAATGCATTGGCAAGTGGATTTTAACCATTTACTGTATATTCTTGCTTCTCCCCAGGTCCTCTAGTTTTTGGCGAGCCAATCACTGCCAGCCTGGGGACAGATGGGACACATTATTGGAGCAAAAACTGGGCCAAGGCTGCAGCCTTTGTGACCTCACCACCTCTGAGTCCTGATCCCACCACACCAGATCACTTGAACTCACTCTTAGCATGGTATAACCTTTAATTGTTTATAATCAGCCAGTCAAATGAGTGCAAAACCCACGCCAGATGCAACATCTAGAGACTGTTCCAGAACCCCTTGAAGTCAATCGGTATATTACCTCTGATTTCAAAGGGCTTTGAATCAAGCTCCTAGTGTATAAAATTATGATGGACAAGAGATGTTAGGTTACAATAGAATTAGTCCTTAAGAACCCAATCTTGCTATCATTAAAGTTAATGGCAAAATTCCCATTGGCTTCAGTGGGAGCTGGGTCAGACTCAAAATTATCAGTAACAGAAGCTATAGTAAACTGACAGTGCAACTTGCTGAGGCAGATTTCCTTGGCCTGCTTTATAGGCTGGAAGATTATGTAGTGTACATAATGCACATAGAGCAACAGAAACATAACTAAAAAGAGCCTGCCTGTTTAATTCTATAGACATATGGGAGAATTAGAGTTGTACGGATGTATATTGTATAGATGTTAATCTACTGATCTATTGTGAAGGTAACAGAACAAACAGGACTTGATGTGAAGAGTGATATGTTATTTGCAATTTCAACTGAAGAAATGTGGTACAGGATTTATTCAGCAGTGAGAGTTATTTATTATTAAAAAGCTTCCAGGTTGAAAGGTCAACAACCATCGCTCTCACAACTTCCACCAAAGTAAATGTAACCCTAGTTTTCTGTGCGTGCATCATCCCAGCCTCTAGGTGGTGTTTCGGTACACGAGAGAGAGGAGACTTGTTGACTTTCCCTTGGGTGACCCACTTCTTTCCCTAGAGGACTCCTGGCAGGGAGGAATAGGGTCAAGGCGGGAGCGTGGCCATTTCTAAAGTAATGTTGCATTTGAAAGATAGATAGGAGTTTGATTCTCATGTGTTTTGTGTTAACCAGTGAGACGGTGCCATATCTTGGCTCATCTTCTGCCCTGAACAGACCTCGTGTTGTACCTTTCCCTTGAGCTCTGCTAACAATAAGACAGTCCCATGCATCAACTTCTCCTTAAGTGTGAAAATGCTTGTTGTAATCTGCGTGCACACATACATGCACATTTGCTTTTAGGACAGGGGCTAATCTTTCAGTTTTTAACGTCTTGGCTTGGTTTTGAAAGGTGCTGAGCACCCGCAGCTTCCAGTGACTTCAGTGGGATTTGTAGATGCTCAGCATTTCTGAAAATCAAGCCACTGGAGAATGGCTAGATTCTGAGGGTTAATAGTGATGCTAAGGGGTGCCACGCCATGAGGCAGGAGGATGTCTGCCAGCTTGGAGGCCTGATTTTGCTGAGTGTAATTCCCAGCACAGGTAGACAGACTTGTGCTAGCTCGGCTGGAGCTAGCATGCTAAAAATAGCAATGGGGAGGTTATGGCACAGGGTGGTGGCTTGCGCTAGCTGCCTGTCCAAACCCAACTGACAGCCTGGGTCTGAACTCAGGTCATTAGCTCGAGCCACCACCAATGCCACAATGTCCACGCTGCTATTTTTAGCACGCCAACTTGAGCTGAGCTAGTGTGAGTCTGTCGACTAGGCTGGGAATCGCACCTCCCAGCGGCAGCGTCGACATTGCCTTAGGCCCCATCCTGGCTTGCCCTCTTGTTGTGCCCCATCTCTACTGGTCTCAGGCTGGAAACCAGCAGGGGTAAGTGGTACACATTGGGAGGGCAGCTGAGGGGTGGGGAGGAACTGGTATGGATGCCAGAGAAGCTTCATTTAGGGATTCAAGTTTGCATTTGGGAAGAAACAGACTGGTTATAGGAGGCTGTCAGCCCACTGATGGGAGGTGGGGGTGTGCTGTCTGTCTGCAGAGGGATCAGAAGAAGGCGAGAGAGAGAGGAGGGTTATCATCAGAGAGATGGGAGGGGGTAGGAACAGCAAAGAGATGGGTATCCCGCTGATAGGGGCTGGGGAAGGAAGGGGTGGGAGCTGAGTTGTTTTGCTGAGAACCTTCCGGAGGAGGTTAGTCATTCCAAGGGTTAGAAGGGGTAATACGTCATCCGTCTGCCCACAGAGGTTCAGGTAGCTCTGAACATGTTCAACAAGTTACCAGCAGTGTCTTGGCAACCTGGAATTGGGTATCACCTCCGGAAAATGTGCACTGCTTCTAGCTCATTGAGATTCTTCTTTGGCTTAAGTGGTGGAGCCGCTGCTTTGGGGTGATAGGGGACTTCCATTTGAGTCCCAGCAGGACAGAGTGCTGACAGTAGAGTGAGTAGTTCAGTTTGCCAGCCAAGCCACTAGTTAACACCAGGAGGTGGCACTATGTCCCTAACTGTGCTGATTCCTGCTTCCAGAGATACCCATACCTTGGATGAAGTACATTTTTAGGATTAAAAATGGTCATTTGCTTGCAGATCACGTTTCTTCCAGAAGTGAGGTTTCCCCACAGCAGGTTGACAGGTTATGTACATGGGTGATATAAAAGCATGGGGAGACGTGTGTCTAGGTACCTGTACATCAGAGACTATGTGCATGCATCTCTGTATGTGCAGTAGGGGATGACTTCTGCTCAGTGACACCTGTGTAAATACACTGTCACTCCACTGGTGCTGGACTTACACAGATGTTAATGAGAGCCCTAAGTCAGATGTACTTTTGGTGGGGTTATACAGAAATTGGTTCATTTCTGACTGGTGCTGGTCTTGGGAGCAGATAAAATTAGCTCCTTTATTTGATCTTTCTGTTCATTAAAATAAAAATAGGAAAAGGTCTTTTCTGGCCTGATCTTGCACCATTGACGACATTAGGAGTTTTGCTGTTGAGTTCAGTGGGAACAGGATCAGACTTTTAACCAGCTCATGCGGCAATGTATAAAAAATCATTATTTTTACTGCAGCAGACACAGCTGTGTGTTCTCCACAAGAGGCTTCCAACATATTAATAATATGTGGGTCAAACTGGCATAGCTAAAATGGCAATAGAATTTTTAGAATTGTAACCCAGATAAAGCCATCTTTTAATATCAAAATCATGCAGAAAAACTGGGAAATCAGGGAAATTTTCATTATGCTCCAAACATGCAGAAATGCTTCCCCCTCCTTCCCCCGCCTTACTGGCTTAGAGTCAGAGATCTTACATGACAGCAGCTTAGCCTGCTTTCAAGTCTAATACTTTAAATCAATACATTGAAATCAATACATAAAAAAATCCTATATATTAATACTTTGCAGTACATTTATATATGGTTTTTTACCCAAGGATGAATATGATTATGATAAATAATAATATATTGTATAGCATTTTTCATCAGTAGATCTCACAACATTTTACAAGCATTAAACAAGCCTCACAACATAAGGTTAGCATGCTTTTGATGGCTGGTTGAAAATTCGCTGTTGAAACTGTTTTGACAGAAAACTGGATTTTTTACTAAACAAAAAATGTCTGCTTTCCACAGAAAATTTAGATTTTTTGTTGATGTTGAAAAACTGAATGCCTGGAATCCAAAATGCCACTGTGATGCCTCATGGGAGATGTAGTTCAGATACCTCAGGCTCCCACACTTACGTATGGGCTGGGCTCCCCAGCCAGACTCCATCTCCCATGAGGTACTGCTTCCCCTCACCAAGAAATGAGATGGTGGTGCTTCATAGGAGATGTAATATGATCAGACAGCCTGGTCAATGAAGGAGAATGGGAGCATGATGCATCTGAACTACAAACCCCGTGTGCCATCATAGTGACGTTTCAGAAACTAAATATTTTAGTTTTTTGATTTTTTTCATCAAAAACTCAGAATTTTTCATGGGAAAAACCTGAATTTTTCTGACAAGTTCTAATGTTTATACCCATTTTACTGATTAATAAACTCAGGCAATGGGACTGTTCACGTGATTAAAGTTAGGTATATGCAAACGTTTTTTGTTGGTTTGGGGCCTAAGTGACGCTCTTGAACTAAGAAGACTAAGCACTGTGGTGTTCAGCAGAAAAACTTCACACAAAGGGCATATGGAACAAACCACTGGGAAAGGCAACTACAACAAAGCATGGAAAAGAGAGAGTCCTAGACTGTTTCTGGTGCAGTGAATTAATGGTGTAAAAAAAAAAGGACTGCATTGTAAAGATAAACTTGGAATGGGCAGGCCAATTGAGCTGAAGAAGGGTTTCTTGTCCCTACAATTGTATTTATTAATACGTGTAGAAAATTAAAGAATCCACTATGTCAAATTAAACTTTCATACAGCAAGACAGTGGTGAGCTTAGAGGACAGAACAAGGACAAGATAAAATGGAAAGCAAATCTTGTGATGTCGTTGATGTGTTTAGTAATTTGCGGTAACGCAAGAAACGCATTAATATAAAAAATACATTTAGTCTAATCTCTCTTATTTCACTATTAACCAAGAGGTTTGTCTTCTAATCAAAGGCTCATGATGTTGCTTGATTCATTTTCTTGTGGATAGGAAAGGATCCGAAGATGATGCAGAAAGTTTCCCATAAGTGAATAGGGTTGGCACCTCAGCAAATTGTACCAATGTGACAGATAAAGGACCTTTTTCTTCATTCACTTGGTTATTTGTAAGGCTGCTGGGATTTTAACCTCGGAATCTAAGGCCTCTTGGTGTTTCAAACCTGCAACTTACACACTAAAATGGGGAGGGACCACCGGTTCAAATCCTAGCATGGTCAGCTCAACCTTCAGCCCTTGGAGACAGAGAAACTGCAGTGAAATATTATGTGAGGCTGAGACCTTCGAAGCTGAGGTGTTGTCTTTTTCTGGGGACAACTAATTGGTGTCAGAATGATCAGAGTGCAGGCTTGCCTGTTCATTCCCTGTTCTCTGTCACAAGGTACAAAGAGAGAGTTTTTCTTGTACAAATTCTATGAAAAATGTGTAGACCAAAAAACCCCCCCAAAGCCAGCTGGTATTCATCATGTTATTTTTATTTAACATGATTATGGATTTATCTTTAAAGTAGAATATTTAATACAAGGGTTTGATAACCTTTGTTAACACTAATAATGGAGTCATCTCCTCAGCACTGTCAAGTGGGCTTTGTACCAGTCTTGTGGTGAAAAGCAGCTGATCTCGGCAGTAGTTGATTATTTTAACATGCCTGGATGATGTAAAGCCGAGGACAGAGGGTTTTCTTAAGGAAAGGTGATCTGGCCAGGGCACCCCTGCTCTTCAGTGATCCTTAGCCACCAGAATAGCACGTGGTGGCTGTTAGTAGCTAGCGTGGGTTAGAGCACGTGCCTCTCATGTCTAGATTTGAAAAAACAAATTCACACCCAACGTGATGCCAAGTGAGTCTGTGTGTCCTGCAATATCAATACTCCATGTGTTAACTCTTCTTAGTGGGGACCTGCAGGTGACGGGAAGTGGGCACTGTCCCTACAGCACCGCCCAGAAAGCCATCGGAAAGGATAACTTCACTATGATTCCTGAAGGAGTTAATGGAGTCGAGGAAAGAATGACTGTTGTCTGGGACAAGTCTGTCGTGAGTAATTGCTTATCTTTATAGACTAAAAAATTGGCTGAATAATGAAAACCCAGGGGCTCTATGCCAGCATTCATGTGGTTTCCCCATATTCTGAGAGTTCCTATCGAACAAGCTACCATAAGGTTATTATTTATTTTTAAATACTTAGTAGGAACGCAGTTAGAAGCTTTGTATTTTACTTCTCTTTTACAATGGAAAAGCATCGTGTTTTAGGAGTCCTGAGGTTTAATTGACTGTACATCATTTTTTGGTATTGTTTCAGATTGAGTGTTTGGAGCTGACATAATAGTCAAAGCAGTTTAACGCTTTTGAAGTAGACTTTGTATAAACTTGACAAATAGATCATTTAATTTGGGGAAATGTCATATCATTGCTGAGAAACTGCAAATGGATGGGAACCAAAGCTTGAGGTTATAATATAAAGCCATTTCAATGAGGACTCCTTATGTAATTTATAGTGGAATATTTTACAGTGCAAAGTTAGCAATTTGTTGGATGTTCCATGGATCCTAATATACAATGCATTCCCCCCACCCGTACACACAGGTGAAGCTGATATGCATGTTACAAACTGTAAAGCTCTATGATTGCATTTATAGTGCACCTCTGACCACCTTACCTGGACTCTGTTTCCCAATCCAACTTGCCAGGGACTACTGCTAGGATTCCAAAAACTGAAGCAGCTTCAAATAGCTGCTGTTTAAAAGCAAAATGAACAAAAACCAACCAACCAGAGACATTTTTTCTTCTTTTCTCCCACAAAACATGGAATGTCAGCTGCAAAACTACATTGGGCTGAGATGCAGGTGGGGCAACATTCAGTTGTGGACTTGGTATCTCATGTTATATTTAGGCTAGAAATGGGTGTTGTTATACCATACAACAAGGAGAATGGTCTGTTTCATTGGGACATGCTGCTCTTGTTTCTAGCCTGAGAAAATCCAAAAATATTGGACTGTAAAATCACAACATTGTTGTGTGCAGCAAAGATTTCATATGCCATTATTAGATATTTCTAAAATTTGATCATTGATGATTTTTTCTCTCCCTTTAAGACCTGTACAGTGAACTTGTGCAACTAAAGCAACCTGGATTTGCAGGTGTAGGGATAAGAATAAGGCAGCCTGATTTTTCAGGTGTACTGCTGCTCCTTTATGCTTCTCTGGCAGTATAAAAGTGCTTTAAAGCGGATATAAATAATTTACACCCATGTTATGGTACCTTCACATGTGAGAGTGGTGGAAAGGGGCCTTAGCAGAACTGAGACAAGCCTTTTATCTGTAATAAAATATGTAGCATATACAGCATACATGATGGTGTAGTCTGGATTAAGGGTTTAGTGGCTTTTGTTTGGGATGATGTGAATAACTCACTCATCTGTTTGCTGCTCCTGAATAATACAGACCTCACAAACTCATGCTGATAAAACCTTTGGACCATGAAACCCCATCCCTTATTTCCTCTGCACACATGCCTTATATGTTGACATTACCAATATTCTATCTCCATTTTGGAAGCTTAATTTACTCATGTCAAATTGCTTGTAGGCCATAGGCAAAATGGATGAGAACCAGTTTGTTGCTGTTACCAGCACCAATGCTGCCAAAATCTTTAATCTGTATCCAAGGAAGGGCCGGATTGCTGTGGGCTCAGATGCTGATGTTGTTATCTGGGATCCTGATAAAGTGAAGACTATTACAGCCAAAAGCCATAAATCGGTAAGAGAAAAAATGCATATTGTCATTATAAACACAACTGCTTTGGAACTACCAATCTTCTAACTCAATTGAACTCCCAATGCGCTAGATATGCAAGAGCTGGATCATATGATGTTCTGTATTAAAAAGTATGATTGTTCATATTAAGATGAAAGTCATTAAATCTCTTGTTTCAGAGAATAAGAAATTTACCACTACAGTCCGGAAGGAATTTTTCCAGCATGTACAATATTGTATAATTGGCTAATTGAATGGGCCAGTTCCCCAACAGCTGTTAATCAACATAGCTCCACTGACGTCAGTGAAGCCGTGCCAATTTGCACCAATCTTGGAGCCAGCATCAGATTTTTAAAGGTATTCTGATGCCTAAAGATGCCGGTAGGCATGTAGTGGGATTTTCAAAAGCACCTAAGTAGGTTAGGTGCCTAAATCCTATTGATTTAGAAAGTCCCACTAGGTGCCTTATTGCATCTTTAGGTGATTAAATACCTTTACAAATCTGACCCCAACCCACTCTTTTCTTTTCTTTGCCTACTTCTGAAGCATCAGTTATCACCCACTGCCTGAGCAGATGGAAAAATGTTCTGAAATGTTATGGTTAAGTAAATGTTTCTATAATCTGGGTTCTAGATTATGGATGGGTTTTTTTGGTCTTGTTTAATTACGAAACTTTATAGTATATTTCTTTGATTCTGTGTCCCAATTTGCATAAAGTACTAATTGTGTATTCTTTCCAAACACTTTGATCCTTGTGTAATGACTACACAAGGGGCAGGATAATGGAGAATCCGGCCCATATGTTTGCTTTATTTTATCTAATCTAATCTACATATCTATCTAGTGGAGAGACAAGGTGGGTGAGGTAATATCTTGTCTCTCTCATATCCTGGGACCGAAACATCTACAACTACACTGCATATCTGTCTAGTAGGTATTTTACATCCTGTCCATCACCATACTGGGTCACAGTTCCTTAAATATGTATGATTTTCATTAAATATTTGTGATAGTTTACTGGATAGCCAATAATAAGTTTTATCTAAAAAAGGCTTAAATGTTCAAAAATGACTAGTGAGTTTGTGTGCCTCAATTTGTGTTTGCCCGACCTTAAAGGGGGCTGATTTTTCAGAATGTGCTGAGCACACCAGTCTCTGAAAATGGGGCCCCTTTAAGATGTTTCAGGTTGGACACATGAAATCACTAGGCATTTTTGAAAATTTACACCTTACTACCCAAGCATTTTGGTTTGGAGGGCAAGAGCGGCGCAGTACAGGGAATAGATCTAAATCATGCACGCTCTGATTCAGCAAAGCACCTGCTTATCCGTAAGCCTGTTCCAAAGTCTCATGCTTGTAGTTAAGCACTTGCTAAAGTGTTTTGGTGAGTCAGTGCCTCTAAGGGTTATGTCTATACTGCAATTAGGACAGCACACGTAGGCATACCCGAGCTAGTTTTGATTGAGCTAGCTTGCTAAATATAGCCGTGTAGCCACCAGCAGCACAGGCTAGCTGAGTACAATCACACCTGGGATTCTAGGTATATACTCTGGTGGCCAGCCTGTGTAGTCACCCATCTCACTGAGGCTACACTGCTATTTTTAGCAAGCTAGCTGGATCAAAGATATCTCCGATGTACCTACATGTGTTGCAATCACACCTCCCAGCTGCACTGTAGACATACCCTAACTGACCTGTGTTTGACAGCCAACAGGCTTGTATATTACTTTATCTACCCCAAAGCATTTTTTTGGTTTCTGCCCCAGGGAGTAAGTGTATTTGGAACCCTTTGATTATGCGTAAGGGTCGCATCTAACCTTCAATAATGTAACTACTAAATGGAAAGTATCCAAATAAACCTTTATGTGTGGAAAAGCAGGTTTTTTTCCCCTCCAAACAAATAAGTGTGCTTGCACATTTTGCAGGTGCTTTGCAGGTGCATTAGTGGAAGCTGGATAAAAATAGGGCCATAAATGTGATTTACCAAAGAAAAACGAACTTGAGATTGAGCTTGCATGGAGTTTTCAGTGTATGTCGTTTGATCCTCAGGCTGTTGAATATAACATCTTTGAAGGAATGGAATGCCATGGTGCTCCCCTGGTGGTAATAAGCCAAGGAAAGATTGTGTTTGAAGATGGAAATCTGCATGTAAATAAGGGAATGGGCCGCTTCATTCCTCGCAAACCTTTCCCTGAATACCTTTACCAGCGCATCAAAATCAGGAATAAGGTAGGTTCAAACTTGGCCTGTTATTTAATACTCCACACACCTTCTGGTCTCGCTCCAGGCTCTCTTGGAACCACACGAGAAAACATTTTGCATCATTATTGTCCTAAGTGAAATGGATCCATGTGGGACTGGAAACGCTGCCAAAAAGTATGGGCCACATCCTCAGCTGGTGTAAATTGGTGTAGCTCCTTTGACTTCAACGGAGCTTCACTGACTTACACCAGCTGGGAATCTGGCCTTGTATGTCTATGATGTACAGTCTTCTGAAGGAAACAGAAAGATAATAGAAGGCAATTTTAGCTAACAACAAAGAACCACAATTTTTCAGGGGGTTGGGGTCAGGACAGGCTGTCATTTTAAATTGTTACATAACTTAGCATGTTGGATAAGCAGCTCAAGTATTTCTGTTTCCCATGTACGTGCTACATTGGAAGCATTCACTGTATTTGGCATTTTATCAGCTTTTAACAACTGTTGTGGGCGAATTAGCTTTAGTTGAGTTGTTTTTGCATATAAAACACAACACTTTCCGGCCTTTCTCTTTTGTGAAGCAGGTGGCTCGGGACAGATGTTTTAGCAAATGAGGGTCCTAGCAGTGGCAGAGTGGTCTGCCACTGGGTTAGCGGGGAATCCACCCGCAACATGCTGACCAGGTTTCCGGCAGCAACATGGTCAGATGATAGTCTGGTTCCCCTGGGCCCTTCCTACTCTCCCACTAGGGTGTAGCTGCATTCAGGGGTTATCCTCAGTCTCTCCAGGATAGACCACCAAGGGTAGCAATAGCAGCTCCTCAGCATTGGGAGTGGCAGATCTCTCTGGAACCTCCGGCAGGTCCTCGGGGAAGCCACGGTTCTCCTCAGCATCCCGCTCCAGCAGTGGGGAAGAAGCTTGAGGAACTGAGCTGCTGGGCCAGCCTTTTATACTTCCTTTTCCTGTCCTGCCCCTCTGCTTCCGGCGTGTGGGGCATGGCTGTCTTGGTTCTGCCCACCAGGAGGCTTGAGGTGTTTCCTCCGTGTCCACCTTTGAAGGAGGCCACGCTTCCTTGCTACAGGGACTGTATATGATACAGCTCCATCCATACTGTGAACTGTATGTGAGACTGAATATATTGTCAGGTTGGAATATCCGTGCATTCAGTGTCTGAGTTGTTCTGTTCTTTTATTTTAGGTAACAGGATTGCAAGGGGTGTCCAGAGGAATGTATGATGGGCCAGTGTATGAAGTCCCAGCTACGCCAAAATATGCAACTCCTGCACCTTCAGCTAAGTCCTCCCCTGCCAAAAATCAGCCTCCACCAATCAGAAATCTCCACCAATCTAATTTCAGCTTATCAGGTAAACCAACATGACCGATTATGAATATCTGGTATCAGGGGGTAGCCAGGTTAGTCTGTATCCACAAAAACAACGAGGAGTCCGGTGGCACCTTAAAGACTAACAGATTTATTTGGGCATAAGCTTTCGTGGGTAAAAAACCCACTTCTTCAGATGCAAGATCATCATCAGAGCACATCACAAATTTGGTTCCTAATAGTGATAATTTGTGGGTGGGATTTTCAAAAGCGTATCAGAAAGCCTTGTGATTCTAAATCACTTAGGACCATATTGTTACAGGTATTTGGGCATCTACCTCCCATTGAGTTCAATGAGAGTAAGGCGCCAAAATATCTTTAAAAGTCTGGCCCTTAGGCTCTTTTGAAAATGCCTCCCCATATTTATATAACATTTTCATGCAGAAATGTCAGTGCATGCTACAGAGACCAATTATTACCTAGAATAGCAACCTGTTCTGATCCCTCAAAAAGAATCCACTCACAAGGCGTTCACTCCTGCGTGGAAGTCAGTGGAACTCTATTTAAGACGATTCCTTTGCAGGAACCGGGCCTTAGTCAGTAACTGCTTGCTTCCTTAGTTAGAAATGATCCAAAAACAGGTTTTAGAGATGAATGGTCAAAACAAAGTGGCAAAAACATTGAATCCTGGATTGAGCCAGTCAGGTGAAAATTCAGTGTTGATTGGATTTTTTTTCTTCAGACGTTTCTGTTCCCATTTTATTAACTCTCTTGCTTTGCTGGCTGGATTGCTATTTTACAGGTGCTCAGGTAGATGACAACAACCCTCGTCGCACTGGACACCGCATTGTTGCGCCCCCTGGTGGTCGCTCTAATATTACCAGTCTTGGCTGAACAGAGATGATGGACAGAATGGCAAGAATGAATCATCATGGGAATAATGTCTGTTCCTCTTGATGTCCATGTTATTGAACCCACAGTTTTATTCGGTACTAATGAGGGGAAAATGAGTTGTCTTTTTGTTTTTCTTTTCTTTTCTTTTTTTTTGTATAGGAAGAGGTGATAATAGTGTGGTGTGTTTGCTTGGAACTACTTGCCTCACAATTGTGCTTTCTTGCCATAGTCACCTTAAAGCATGGTGCTTCCATTGCCCCTTTAGTGACTACAGGTTTTAGCTTTGTCTTGTAACTAAATGATGGTTCCTTTGCACCCATTAGCTGTACTAGAGTAGTAAACGCATGTTACTAAGTTATTTATGCAAGTTGCAGTCTGTGAGTGCGTCTGTTTAGAACACGTTGCCAACAATTGACACAATGCCAAGATCAATGCCACTAAAATACATAAGGAGGAAGAATATGGACATTTTTAAAGTATGCAGTAGAATAGCGTAAGTGGCTTCTGTTAATATCTTTAATTTATTATAAATCCATGAAGCACTGCTCCCAGATACAAAGAAACAACTTCAAAATGTGTAATGACAACATGGCCTGTGTAGCAATTCTCATTATGCACTAAGTACATTCCAAGTATGTGTCTTAATTGTTTTCATTTTAGACAGAGCCATAACTTCTACGGAGCAATGCCATTGCCATCCCTTTCAGAGATTTCTCCAGCTGGGCAGTAGTGTGCTCCTTTTGCATGAGTGTTTTGGTACTTCAGAATAACTTAAATTACCGTTGGATTTTTAAACTTTTTTGTACAAAGTTTTTCCTTTGTAATCACATGCATTTTTACTTATTATACCCTATCAGATCTACTAGTTGTGGTTCTATTTCTGAATTCAAAGCTTGTGAAATAAAGGAAATGAAAAGATCATTAAGTGTCTTTCTCTGCCTTCCAGGTCTCTTGCTCACCAATATGATTTTTTACAGTGTAGGTGTTCCCTGGCTAACCAGAGGGAGTTTTCTTCTGGGTCCACATCATTTGAAAGAAACTGCATCCTCAAAGCACAAAGATTGTTTATAGATTCTAGGACTGGAAGGGACCTCGAGAGGTCATCGAGTCCAGTCCCCTGCCCTCATGGCAGGACCAAATACTGTCTAGACCATCCCGGATAGACATTTATCTAACCTACTCTTAAATATCTCCAGAGATGGAGATTCCACAACCTCCTTAGGCAGTTTATTCCAGTGTTTGACCACCCTGACAGTTAGGAACTTTTTCCTAATGTCCAACCTAAACCTCCCTTGCGCAGTTTAAGCCCATTGCTTCTTGTCCTATCCTCAGACGCTAAGGTGAACAAGTTTTCTCCCTCCACCTTATGACACCCTTTTAGATACCTGAAAACTGCTATCATGTCCCCTCTGTCTTCTCTTTTCTAAACTAAACAAACCCAGTTCTTTCAGCCTTCCTTCATAGGTCATGTTCTCAAGACCTTTAATCATTCTTGTTGCTCTTCTCTGGACCCTCTCCAATTTCTCCACATCTTGTTAATGAATAACTTTCTGTGCACACTTGAATATTGTTTTTGCAAGTTCCAATTCAGCTGAGCTGAATAGAGCTTGTGGTAAGACTATAACCAGACTATAAGTCGCCTAGCCACTAACAGCTACGTTGGCAATCCACCTGCAGCTCTGGAGCTGTATTGGATTTGCACAAAGTGGAGCAGATTGCTGCCATCCTCATTTTTAATATGGGACAGCAACCACCAGAGACAGCCCAGAATCAGCACGCAATGCTCCATCTTGATCAAAGCCATCTTCCAGTTGGCATTGCCTACTGGGATCCGTCTCTCTGTGTGTTCTTATCAAGAGCCCATCATCAGAGCACATCACAAACTAATGCACAAATGGATTATTCTCTTCTTCTTTGGGAGGTTGATGGCAATGTCCTCCCTCCTCTTTTCCAGTGTAAGTGTGTGAGAAAGAGGCCTTCTCCTTGCCCCTACTTCTATTTCCTTTTCCTTATTTGCTTGTGCTGCTGATGCTAAGGGAAGGCCAGGCTAAAAGAGTGAGGTTGGGGGTTATCAAAAGAGCTTAAGTGACTTAGCAGCATAAATTCCATTGGCTTTCAGTGGGACTTGTGCTTCTTAGGCCTTAACTACACTAGAAATTTGTACTGGTAAAAGTTCTGCTGGGGCAGTGCCACCAACAAAACTATTCAGTCAGCGCTCATTCACGCTCAACCGCTTGTGCCAGGGCATTGTGCCCACACAGCATCAAGCTGCATTGACAAAAGCCCTGTAGCACTGTGTGTAGGTGACACATGTGGATAGTCACATAGTCCATTGATTTCAACGGAAATTAGGAGTCTTAACTACCTTTGTGGATCTCGGCCACAGAGTCTTTTGAAAATCCACCAGCCTTGCACTTTGTACTGAGGACAGTGGGGTGTCCAGAAGAGGAGCCAGTCCCCTAGAAAGCTTTGCCTCCCACTTCCACGTTTAACCCTTGAGATTGACAGTCGCATCGCTTCTGTGGGGCCCCAGCACTTGAGCTTTTACTTGACCAAACAAATGAGAATGAACACAATGTAACTCACACTGACAAAGATGCCATTTTTTGCTATTTGGAAAATATAAAAGATTCATGGCTAACCAGAGGAAACACTTGTTCACACACTTTTCCTGCTCTATTGGCTATTCATAATATTTTTCATGCTGAAGTAGCCATGAACACACACAAGGCAGCTTTGAAGCCCTCTATTATGAACTTTAATGGTTCTGAGATCAATACTTGTCAGTTCAGTGTAGTTCTGCTTTGATTACTTTGAGGAGTGAGGTGCTAATGTGTCCATGTAATTTATAACCTCCTAGAAGCCTTTCTATCTTTTCCATGGTATTTATGTTGCTTCTTTAAGGAAGTGGAGTATAGGACTTGGATTCTGTACTGTGTCTGTTTTATCCTTCCCTGACTGGCAGTAGTACCTGGGAGTGAACTAAAGACCTCTCTTCCTTGTGCAGAGTTAACTTGTTACATCATCGCCAGCCAATCAGTGATCCGGCGTCTTCCCCTGGATCCTTGCTTTATTAAAACATCCGAGTGTTGTCGTGCTGTTCTCAGACTAGCTTTGAGCAGGCTGAGGTAAGTGGTCTCTCCCCTCCCCACTGAATAAACAAAAGGCCAGATTGTGACACTGTCTATATTTCCATGCCAGGGAGTAGGAAGCCCCCTTCCTTCTCACATGAGAGGTAGCTGTGAGGAGAGGAGCGCAGCCTCCATGTGACTGCTATTCCCATTATTTGTGCATGTGTGCAGGGGAGGGGGGTCTGGCTCCATTCCCCTTCTCCCTACAATGCTCCATTCAGCACATGAGAGGAACCAGGGACAATGTTATGACTCTTTGAGATGGTTAACCTGATGCACCTTATTTAGGGCTTGTGGCAAAGCTACAGATGTGCTGTTAATGATGACATTAAGACTGGCCCTTAACCAGTATCATGTCACCCATTAAACAACCTCCCCACAAATCAATGCATTGAAGTTTATCATTACCCTTTGTGTACATTGCACTGGCCACCATTAAATCATAGAATATCAGGGTTGGAAGGGACCTCAGGAGGTCATCTAGTCCAACCCCCTGCTCAAAGCAGGACCAATCTCCAACTAAATCATCCCAGCCAGGGCTTTGTCAAGCCGGGCCTTAAAAACCTCCAAGGAAGGAGATTCCACCACCTCCCTAGGTAACCCATTCCAGTGCTTCAACCCCTTCCTAGTGAAAAAGATTTTCCTAATATCCAACTTAAACCTCCTCCACTGCAACTTGAGACCATTACTCCTTGTTCTGTCATCTGGTACCACTGAGAACAGTCTAGATCCATCCTCTTTGAAACTTCCTTTCAGGTAGTTGAAAGCAGCTATCAAATCCCCCCCTCATTCTTCTCTTCTGCAGACTAAATAAGCCCAGTTCCCTCAGCCTCTCCTCATAAGTCATGTGCTCCAGCCCCCTAATCATTTTTGTTGCCCTCCGCTGGACTCTTTCCAATTTTTCCACATCCTTCTTGTAGTGTGGGGTCCAAAACTGGAAACAGTACTCCAGATAAGGTCTCACCAATGCCAAATAGAGGGGAATGATCACGTCCCTCAATCTGCTGGCAATGCTCCTACTTATACAGCCCAAAATGCCGTTAGCCTTCTTAGCAACAAGGGCACACTGTTGACTTATATCCAGCTTCTCATCCACGGTAAACCCTAGGTCCTTTTCTGCCTAGCCACTCGGTCCCTAGTCTGTAGCAGTGCATGGGATTCTTCCGTCCTAAGTGCAGGACTCTGCATTTGTCCTTGTTGAACCTCATCAGATTTCTTTTGGCCCAATCCTCTAATTTGTCTAGGTCTCTCTGTAGCCTATCCCTACCCTCCAGCGTATCTACCACTCCTCCCAGTTTAGTGTGATCTGCAAACTTGCTGAGGGTGCAATCCACGCCATCCTCCAGATCATTAATGAAGATATTGAAGAAAACCAGTCCCAGGACCGACCCTTGGGGCACTCCGCTTGATACCGGCTGCCAACTAGACATGGAGCCATTGATCAGTACCTGTTGAGCCCGACGATCTAGCCAGCTTTCTATAACCTTATAGTCCATTCATCCAGCCCATACTTCTTTAACTTGCCGGCAAGAATATTGTGGGAGACCGTACCAAAAGCTTTGCTAAAGTCAAGGAATAACATGTCCACTGCTTTCCCTTCATCCACAGAGCCAGTTAGCTCATGATGGTGTTTCTAATCAAACTGACTTGCATGATTCTTGCACGTTGTTATCTGAGTTCCTGCGTGTGTTGCCCATGACAGTTCCAGCGGGGATATTCTCATCTTTACTTAAAAGCAAATTAACTACTGAATGAAAATAATGTATTCTAATTCATCTAAGATGCACAGTTTGGGGGTACTTCCTCTTTAAATCAGATGCCAGGTGTTGTCTTTAGGGCAATACTGACAGTAGACGTTAGACCTATTCGCTGTCATAGTTCTCACACTCATATTGCTTACTCTGTGACACGCTTGTGTGGTGAGATGCACATGAAATGATGTGTGTCAATTCATAAAGCCAGTCATTGACTTAAACAGCTCTCTAAGTCCAGCAGCTTCTTCTGCATAGAGCAGGTTAAACAAATGCAGACCTGCAAGGCCACGAAGAATACGAGCGCTATTTCAGGAAGTAAGTTAACAGCTACACATTCTAGGTGTCAGAGGCTGGATCCTTTATCCATGCTCCAGGGGCTTTACACTGCGCCAGTGCTGCAAAGGTGCTGGAAAATCAGCACAAGCTGCTACCTAGGGATTCCCCTAGTATAAAGGGAATTCCCAGGTAGCATTGAGCCAGTGTAGTCAGCTCTATGCCATGCCCCTCATAACCCTTGGTGTAGGGGGTGTATGTAGGGGAAAGACAAATGATTAGAATGCTACTGTGATATTTGGTTGCCCAAACGACCTCTTGGAGATTGGTGCAGCTGGGCACTACTTAGAGCAGCTCTGAGGTTGCTCTAAATTGCTCTGGAGGCTAAATTGGTGCCTGTCCAGGGTGTGTAAAGGTTATAAAATGCCATTTTTGCACCCCTCTCAGGTGCATGACGCTCCTGGAACTCTATCCCTAAATCGAACATGACAGTCCTTCATGAATTTGTACCCAATGAATTCAATACACAGAAGTATTTGCTTTAAGTCCGTGGTGAATCTGTACCACCTTGCATGTTTAGCTGGTCCCAGGCTGCTAGTATCAGGTTAAAGTAAAAGTGTTATGATCCACACCAATATTAAACCCTTTGCAGGGCACCTTTAAGAGGGATTTTTGTGGGGGGAAGAGTGTTTATGCCCAGGCTTTATACAGGAGACAAATGGATTGCTGGCCAGGAAAAAGA